GTAATATCATAATTTTTTTGTTATTTATCGTGTCCATATCATTTAGGTTCATATCGTATATTTTGGCTTTGTTATTATTGTGATCTGAATGAATTTAAGTTTGTGTGTTTGCGTGTACGTTTTTGTGTAAGTTTATGTTTATGAACTTGTCTATTTAGAATTCAATTTAATTTGTGCTACATTCACTAACATACTAATATTGAGTTTCTTGCAATGTAGCTGAGAGCAATCAAGTGTAAAATGTTAGCAATCGTCCATGTTACGAATACTCGTCAATACATCTATAGCAAAATTATTGCCATTCGTGTTATTGTTATTCCTTTTTAATGATTTGAGTATATTTTTGTAGTTGGTTGGGAAAGCAATTTAATAATTCGATGACAAGTAAAATAATATTGAGAATTATAAATTATTATTTTTTAAATCAAAAAAAAAAAAAGTGAATACTAATAAGTAAAAGTACTAAAAAGTAAATAATGCCGTCGAAAATATTTTTATTTTATCTGTTAACAATTAAACTTGTTGTACACAAAACAATCGATACTTTCTTCTTTATATTCTTATAATATATTAGTAAATTAATTAATATTAAGTATTAATGAATTTAATTAAATTTAATAATTATAATATAATCATATTATATGATTATATGATTATATTTATTATATTATTATTATATTTATATTATATAAATCATATTTATAATTTTGTACAATTAGAATAGTATTCCATAAGAAAAAATCAATATCTTGTATATTAGTCTTATATTTGATTTAGACTACCTTTTGTAATGTTACATAATATATATTCTGCCTCTTTACATTAACATATTTTACTTAAGTATAAAAAACGTACGTAGTCTACAAAGGTTAGGTAAGTCAATATTTTCAATGGGTTGGATTAAACAGGGTTGGATACATGTTTATAGTTACGTCTTCACTAGTTTTATAAGATAATAATATTATTTTATAAAATAATTAAATAATTTATAAAATTATAGTTCTCTGTTAAAATTTAAATTTAAAAAATTTGACCACAAATATTCATTACTACTCATTATTATTGAAAATTTATACAAAGCTACTTAATTATTTAGATAACCTCACCTCACGAAACATATTATAGTTAAAATTGAATTAATTAAGTTGTATAATTATTGAAATCTAATATAAATTCATAAAATTCTTTATATCTAATATACGTAGTTATGATAGATATACCGAGTAAATCTAAGATATTTCAATAAACTTAGAATAACTCTTCAGTAAGCCTTGATATTATGTTAGATTTGAAGGTGGCTGCTATCGAATTTAAAAAAGATTTTGAATTCAACTCAAATAATTTAGGTGTTGGGTTTTGTAAAAGGTTCATTTTTTCAGTATTTATATAAAAAAAAAAAAAAAATAGGTACCTATAAAAATGATAAAACACCATTAGAACATTCAATGATTAACTTTGATTTAAATTAATACTTCAAAATGTGAATACTTAAAATATAAAGTAATACTTAAATTTAATATTAAACTAACTATTAAAATTGATATGATATTTTCTTTGGATAGTAAATCATTTTATATTATATATTGATATTAAATCATTTGATGATTTTATTCTGTAAATATTTTATTTTATTTTATTATATTATTTATTTTAACCACCAAAAAAACTTTAACTTAAAATGACTAATGTTTTTTTCTCAACTATATATATTTTACACTGCTTAATTGTTTTTTAAGCTCTCATTAAATATTAATTTTTTGTTTATGCCCATCATAATTATAAAATATATAATTGTATATAATTATATAATTATAACATAATTTGTTACATAAACATGATTATTCAGATATATTTTTTATCCAATTTTTGAATACATTTTTTTAAAATCGACTCTCTCACTCTTAAGAAATTATCCCTTTAAATCCCACTGTAAATTATCAAAACATTTTTCAGAATAAATAACATTACAATATTAATTATGAAGTTGGTAGGTAATACTGAGTGATTGGAACAAAAAAAGCATACAATTTTAAAAAACTGTATATTATTGGAAACGTGTAATGTTATAAAATTAGTAGTAAAAAAAAGCGATTTCCAATAAAGTACCGAGAATAAACATTAGTTTAATTTATAAAAAATAAATATACTAAGTTGGTATAATAGAATTTGGACTCTTTGAACTTATTTTTATAGCTTAAAATGTAAGTGAAATATTTTACTAAAATTGTGTCTCTTGGTTACATTTTTAAGATTAACATTTTATTTTATAACACATAAGTAAAATGTTCCATAAAATTGCAATAAAATAAAAAACTATTTATTCTTGGAAATGTTTTATAAAGAATGAGATTAAAAATACTCAGTTACATTTACTTTTATGAGTCCTAGAAAATTAGTTAAGTAATGAACGAACTCCAGTGCCACGTAATACAATCACTGTTCAAACTAAATATTACGTAATTAGTAAATGCTCATATATTACGTGTGGTTATCTGTTGACTGTTGTTATTACTAAAGATATGTAATCGTGTAAAGTTTAATTCAAACTTCTTATACATTTTTCGCTTATGGAAACTCGTTATTATTTTATAATTCATATTTATTTATAATTACTTAGTAAGTTAAAGTATAATAACAAATCAATTAAAATTTTTTATTTATCTAAATAATTATATAAGTACATTAATAATGATTAGCGTAATAAATTTATTTTACAAAAACGAGCTCATAGAACAGCTGTATTCGATCTTGTAATTTTTTTCAAATATTATTCAGTTGTTTCTCATTAGAACTGATCTCAATCAATGTTTATCATGAAACTATAAATACTAAATTCTACTATTTAAATACTTTAAAATACTTATCAATAATTATTTGAAAATAATGCACTCCTGCAAATTACTATATTATCATAAAATCGTATCAATAAATATTAAAAATTAAATAAAATAGCAATTAAACAGTTATATGGTATTAATTAGTTTAAATCAATAAATATTAATCAAACTGATATTTAACAGTGATAAACTGAACTAAGTATACTATTTATAATTTAAATTGTCAAATTGAATGTTGAATTATGTCATTATGATACAAACATGTTGAGAACCTCAGTTTAAGATAGTGTGATAATACCTTCTTCTTCTCTTTTGTCTTTCTCTCATCTATTTTGGGTTGGCCACTCTTGTTCTAAACCTCCACTCATCTTGATTTTCTGCATCCTCTACGTACGCACCAACATATCATTCTCAATTGTATTCAATCATCTCTGTTTTGGTCTTCCTCTTTTCCCTTCAATATTCATTTTCATGACAACTCTTATTGCATTTGCTTCTTCTAGCCTCATGCCAAAACCATCTCAGTCTATTTTCTCTCAACTTGTCCATTATAGACGCTATACCAATACTACCTCTCACATATTTGTTCCTTATTATTATTCTTTATTATTACTATCTTTTCTTGTCACTTTATTCATGATAATATAGACTTGATAATATAGACTTGATAATATTTTCTGATTTTATTATAATTTTATTTTATTTACTTATATAATCAATTATTATTTTAAATTAAAAAAAAAATAAAAATAAATTTGTTGTAAATTTGACAAATTTCAAAAATTAGTTTTTTGTTTTATTAATTTAAATTTAAATTCATATTAATGCTTTTTTGAATACATTAATATATGAGATATCTGTTAGTATTTTTTCTCTGAATCAAATCAAAACTTAATCAGTTTTTACTCTAATTAAAAATAAGTCTATGTTTTCTATCATGCTTATCGTTGAAAATATTTTAAACAAATTGAACATCTACACGTTAAATAAATTATTAAGGTAGATTTAACAAATTTAATAAAATCATATTATTAATAAGAAACCAATTTTTTTTTTATATAACTAGGTACTGTTATTTATATTTACAATTTAAATGAACATGCGAAGACGTTAGGTACTTCGATGTATTAAGAGTATTGCATTTATTAACATAAGTATGCAAGCGCCTTTCTTTTTTAATTTAAAATCATTCTGTAAAATAGCACTGTAAAGTAACTTCTTGGAGCTATTTTTTTTCCTATAATAATTTGATATGCTTTTATATAAGAATTATTATATAATATTATTATTTTATTGTGATTAAAAGTCCATTTCTTAAGAATTTGATAAAAGTACGTAATTAAAATAACGATAACTTATATATTTTTATTGAAATTTTGCTCATATTTTATTTATTTTAAATTTTATAAAAGTATTTTGAATAGTAAAAAGTGAACTACTAAGATGTTTTGATGAAGAAAAATAATTATTATAAAAATATATTTGAAAGTTCTTTTGGACACAAATGTTATCTATCATGTTTACATTTGTCTGTGTATTAGAAATAATTGATAAATTTTTCAAAAATCGTATGTTTATACTATTTCTGTATTTATTCAAATATTTATGTATTTTAAAAATACAACATTTGATTAATTTTCATGGCTAATTGATTTTTATTAACATTTTATTTAACGTCATTAATATGTATATACATCAGAATATAAGAAATATAATATTTTTCAAAACTCGAAATAGTTTTAATTTATGCAATCATTTAATTTGTGATTATATTTTGAATCTAATCAAGTTTCAGGTAAATAATTTAGGATTTTAAAATTGTTGTAGGCATTACAAAATGCATGTTAGTGCGTTCAATTTATGTGTATTCATTTTAAATCGTTTCGTGGAATTTGTACAGTTAAAATTCAATAAATTATCAGAAGATGAGCGAGTTAAACTAAAGAAAAATACGGCATTGTTCTTTTACTTTAAAAATAACGTCAGCACTTATCAAATGTTATCGCTGAACATACTGTGAATAGTAATTTTCACGTTGGCATTTTAGTGATTTTTCACACCGTAGCTCGGTCCCTAAAATCTCAAATTCACAACATCATATGTTGAATAAAATGTGAAATTTCCATAATCATACGGCTACTGTTATTTTATTTATTTTTTCAGTTATGGACAAACGGCACATATTTGTTGATGAGTATCACGTTCAAGTTTGACAGAGACCTGACCACACGAAATATGTACCTATGTGCGTACGAGTCGCGAAAACCATCCAACGGACTGACATCATCGTTGTGGAACATATTTAATGGTTTTAGTGATAATAATGATGGCCGATGGGTAAACCAGGGCGATTCTGTTGTCATCAGGTCCGATGAAATGGTAATACAGTCTGCCGATTCAAAGGATTCTTTGCTCAGCAGGTGAGCGACCTCGAACTATCAATAAATTATGTTGCACTGCTGTTATACAAGGCGTTTGTTGCACTTTTAGTTTTGTTCTTAACAATATGCACGCGAATCCATTTCGATTTTAAAAATTACTTTTCGCTTTCAATAGCTACACGTTGTTGGGCTTCTTAAAACAATGTGTCTTTCGAATCACGAAATAAATTGTTCTAATGTATTATTGCTATTCAGAATTTCTTTTATTCTAATTGGAATATTACACATTTACATTCGATGAATGAATTTAATTAAATTGTTCGAACTCAGAAATAATATTCCATTTATTTTATTTAAGTCTCGGGGTAAAAAAATGTTCTAGTATTTTATTTATATTTTACAACATTTTTTCTTTTATCTTTTTTATACCTGATAGTATATTCTTATTAATTTAAAACAAGTTATGATCTACAATTGATTGTTGTTACATTTAAATTAAATTGATTATTCAATACGTGTGTTTGTATTATTTTATTTTCAATGTATTGTTATTTTATCAATACGAGCTTTTTATAATTTAAAATAATTTGATTTTATATATATAAATAGAATGTACATGTTTAAAAATCAACATTATAATAATAATATGTAAAAATTAAAATCAAATTTAATAGTTATTGAGATTAAGTACTTATTTTTATAGAACGCTAAACTGAAACAGTAAAGCTTTAAACTCAATTATACTTCTGATTTATTAGGTGTTTATTATTAGGTACGTTTCAATATATATGTATACATTTTTGGAACAAAAAAATAATTATTTCTGATGTATTGACTTATAAGCTATTTTACTAAAACTCATAATATTAGTTGGTAATAATTAGTATAGTTTTGAATTAATAAGGTAGGATTTTTTTTACTTGACTTTGGTATCATTACATTAATTATTAAATATATGGAGAATGTTAATTTCATTGAATTTTGTATTTTTTGTTTTCACATTTTTTTTTGGGATGAAAGTTTATTTTAATTATAATTTATTTTTCGTTATATTTAACAGACAAAGGAGACAGCAAGGTCATATGTTGAAAAATGTTACACCCCTAGCTACAGCATACATGTCGCAAGTAAATTTATTTGGCTTGCGGATGGAATATTCAGATGCAGGTGTAGACTATGATGATCAAGGTGTGCCACAATTATTGGTACAACGAATGGCTCTGTTTCGTTTATTCGGTAGTGGTTGGTCTGAGAATACATTATTTGTCCTTACTGAAAAAACTGGTGACAGAGGTGGTCCATGCGAATTTCCTATCGGGGAGGTTCAGAAAGTATGTAACATTTTTTTATTAAATATACTTAATATAAGTTCATCATTTTTTTTTTTTTTTTTTATAAAAATTGTTTCGGATTCTCAAGTGTATTTATACAAAATGTGTTAAAATGGAAACCGTCAATAATAAACATCCGTGTTATAGTTAAATTGTATACATACATTTATAAATAATGTGAATCAATAATTTTCGTTGAATATTTGAATATTTACCCATTGCATAAACCAAATACCATTAAAATTAAATATTATTCCTACGTGGTGTTTTTTAGGTAAACATTTCAAGCGAAGACCCAAACACAGTTCAGCTAAGCATTATCCTACCACAAGCCAGTAAAGCTGGTACAATATTTTTCTTTTGCTCGAAAGAGAGTAATATCCCTACCTCGGTTTGGACACATATGGGTACCGAATATTACAAAAAGATGGGAGTATACGAAAAAATGTTACCGTTTTGGCTGCAAGTGGCTATCATTCTCACATGCCTGTCATTTTCTTCCCTTTTCTCTGGTCTAAATTTGGGCTTAATGTCATTAAATCGAATGGACTTGAAGATCATTTGTAATACGGGTACGGATGCGGAACGCAAGTACGCCAAAGCTATACTGCCCGTGCGTATTCACGGTAACTACCTGTTGTGCAGTATTCTGCTAGGAAACGTTATGGTCAATTCGATATTCACTATTCTGTTGGACGATTTGACATCCGGCTTGGTGGCGGTTATAACGTCCACGCTAGCCATTGTTATTTTCGGTGAAATCACTCCGCAAGCTGTTTGTTCACGTCACGGTTTGATGATCGGTGCCAAAACCATATACGTCACGAAAACCGTAATGGTATTAACCACACCGCTGTCTTGGCCCATAAGTAAAGCTTTGGATTGGGCACTTGGCGAGGAAATCGGTAGCACGTATAACAGAGAACGTCTAAAGGAGTTAGTCAAGGTTAGTGATATTTATTTCATTCTTTTATACGAAACATATTTTAACACTTACAAACATACACTACACTACATACTACATAATAGTTATGTATTAGTATTTAACCAAAGAGAATTGCATGGATTTCTTATAATTGTCAAGTTTTCAATTGGTCATAGATATTTAGTCCAATGGTTATAAATAATATAATAAATATATATCAGTATGTTATCAGTGACTTTAGTAAATCTGAATACCACTGTTTGATCTACTAATTTTATTAATATATTTCATTGTTGGGTTTAATTTTTTTCTTAAATGTTTAAAATATAACGATGCAAAGGACTGTAGTTATATATCTATTTTTTATGTTTTTTGTTCCTTATGTTCTTTATTTCAACTCAAACTATTACTTGTCCTATAAATTACTATTATAAGCTTATAATTAAATAATTATTATTTTACATAGGGCTTAAGTTAGTTTTGTAAATAATTTGATGCAATTTGAACATAAGTGTAAATTATAACTCGACAGTATTGTAAGTTTATCTTCGATATATTTTAATAGGAAATCAAACTACTTTATTCGAAAACATTATCATGTATTAGTGGTGTAACTAATAAATGATAATGTTATTTTGATTAGTTTGTGTCAAGCTAATGTTTAAACATTTAGTTTCAATCAATGATTCTATCCAGAAGAATTCCATTTAATGATAAATTAATGATTGATTTATAATAGGATTTTAAATTGTCTATACATACATTTAAATTAACATCCATAATTTTTGATTTAAAATTAAATATAAAATAATTATATTTATATTTATATTATTCATAACAAATGATTGTTAGGAGGACGTGATACACAAAGGTGTACGCATGTAAAGATACCTAGATCAATGAAAATACGGATTACATTACGTGAGCATACATGTGAGTGCGTAACACGAAATTCAGGTAGAGCCTTCAGTGAACCTATAAATATAACAAAACATTTATTTACGATTATTAGATAGGAAAATTATACTTTGCGGACATAACTGATCAATGTAAAATTGTAGCAGAAACTTTTTTTATTTTTAAGAGAGCAATCAAATATTACGTCAGACAGGACTCCTCCTCCTCCTATCTTACGTCAACGTTTTTCATGAAACCCCTAAATTATTTTATTGTTATTAATCAAATTAATTTCTTCAATAATCAAAATAAAGATAATAATAAAAATTATAAGATGGCACGTCTTCGATGCTGTCGTTAACTGATCGACTTTTGCTTTTATCTCGCGTTTATTCGAATTTTGATTGATATGATGTTGACATTAGTTTGAGATTTAGCCTCTTTCCCTCCATATAAGGTACTATCAGATTTCTCGAACCCCTTCCTCACTGGTCTGCTGACATAATACTTAAATGTTCCCAAAGAAGTGAACATTATCTATGATGTAATCATTTTTATTTTTTCGATAACTTATCTTAATATTTTTTGTTTGTTTATAAAAAAAATATATTAAGAAATAATATTAAAAAATAACTATGGATCCATTAATCCTAATAAAAATAAAAAAATAAATAAAAATACTACATCGTAGTTAATGTTCTGCTGTTAATGACAAAACAAAATTGGACCCTTCATTATAAAGATACATGGTGCGTATATTTATACATTATTATATTTATTATAAATAATTATTTATATTTATATGTTATTTATGATGGTTGCGTACCGGGTAAAACGTATTGTTACTCATGGTTGTGTTTCGGCTGTATCACGTTCTCTTCAATTTATATGAAATTTAAAAAATGCATGCTCAGCTTATAATTTATATTTTTAAAACAGACAAAATGTATTGTGTTGTTATCACATTAACAAAGTATACAAACTGAAAATTCATAATACATGGCTTTTTGTATGGATTTCAGTTTTGATAATTTATTTATTGAATAAATTATTCATGGTAGAATATTAACTAACTAATTAATTCAATAACACTTAATATAAATTGCAATTGACGATGCATGGAACATTAAGGTAATGTACAAATAATATTGCAGAGTGAAACATCAGTGTTTTTTTTTTTTTTTACTAATACATAATAATTATTTTACTATTAAATTTAATCTTTTAATTTCTATTAATTATTTTTATAATGTAATTCAATAACTTGTGTTTAACATAAAAGCATACATTTATCAAATTTAATAAGTTTTTATTAATTTTAAAAAAAAACAATATATAATCTATAAAAAATATAATTTATTTTTCATAAGAAATTTTAAGTGAAATTATTTCTTATTAAATATTTCAAATTTTGAATAGATATTTAACTCTAAGAAAATATTACCTGTTTTTAATATTGATCATAAAAAAATAAATAATTTTAGTATTTAAAATATAAGTTATTACAAAACAATTGGACTAGGTTATCTCTATCAACTTAGCAGGTATCTCAGTTAGGATACCCTAAAAAAATTTAACTTTTTTAATTATAAAATATGTTTTTTTATATTTTAATTATAAATTAATTGTATAAAATTATTGTTAATTAATAACGTTAAATAATTTAACTGAAAAAAGTTATTGTTGATAATTAAGTTGGTAGGTTCTAACTAGAGCTAGATAGTCTTTTCACTCAGTTGATTATTTATCTATTAAAAATTATTTATAATTTTGTTTCTGTATAAAAATCATATTATTGATTTTAAAATATAAAAATACACCATAATTTTGTTAAAATATGTTGTGCTTACAGCATAAAACCACTAGATGTCATCATAATCGTTTGTATTCAACTAGATAAAAATAAGTATACAGTCATAAAGAACTTTCTATTATATTTTGGTTGTTAAATACCCTTTTTTATCAAGTTAATTGCAAAATATTACAGCGATGTCTAGTGGCTGCGTCATCATAGGTACTAACAATACTTACTTATTATTTTACTTTATATTATTAAGTAGGTATAATAATTAGTTTAATAGTAACAATAGGATTGCACATCTGTAGTAAAACCAATGAAAATATAAACATAATTTGATACGAATAATTTAATAATTTCCACCATAGTTTTTTTCACCGATAACCATTTTAGTATTAAATATGTACTAACTTATTACAAAATATTTAGGGTGTTTTTAGCAGAAATCGTATTTATGATTTTTTTTTTTTTTTTTTTAAGTTGAATTATGTAGATAATATAAAAAAAAAAAAAACACAATTTATTTCAGGCTAATTTTTAATGGAGCATTATACAATTATGCTTCATCTGTTCTTATAATAATAATAAGCAAATGGGGTACGGTATCATATAATGGTTAGCCACAATTGTCTTTCGGGGTCATGGTTAAACTACGTCCGGTTTTATTTCCTGGATGTGTGATCACCCGAATATTTAACTACAAATCGATGATCATGCATTCACATGTGTTTCGACCTACCCAGTACCCACAAACCGACATAAAACTTTCAGTTCCTCTTTTACACTTGATAGTTGTAAGTCGCAGGTTAAACAAATAATAAAAAATAAAAAGTAATCAGGATCAAACAGTTATAATCTTATTCTAAAAAATTGTTTAATTGTAATAAATAAATTCAACAGTCTTTTGTTTATCTTAGAAGTCCATTTAAAAACCCTATTATTTATTCAAATAAAGTATACTTTATTCATTAATGTACATATTATAGGTTTTTTATTGGCCTTAAAATAATGTGTGTTGAGCCCAGACTCAAGTATTTAACATCTTAAGTTAAAAATATAAACCGATAAAATAATAGGTATTTGTGATATTTACACATAATCTTTATTTAAGAACAAAATTTGTAAACTCTTAACTTGGGTGTTATATTTTTTGTATACCGCGTAGTATAAAATAATGACTTATAAACAAAGAAATATTTTACACAATCATTGTTTATGCCCTTTTTATGCCAATATTTTTTTCCTCCTACACTCGAATTTATGAAACAAAATTCCTTGAAGTTTGCTGTTCTACCATTAAGTATAATAATAAAAAATATTAAAATTATTTATGATAAATTTTGTTTTTATCTACACCATTTCACGATCGTCTTTTATCGTGTAATATAATATCATTAACGACTACACGTTGTATTATTAATAAATAAATATTTATTTTTATTTCATTCGCATACAAGGATATGCCGACATATTACGTTAATGAAATAATAAGATGCCAATGAGTTTCTCATTCTCTTCCTACAGTTATATATTGTTACAAGTATTATTGAAAATATTTTGTTAAGACAAATTTTAAATTTCTATCTACAATTCAAATCAAAAATATTAGTTGATTTTTTTTAATGCAAAAACTATATAAAATCACATTTGATATAAGATAAAACATTAATACTTTCAAAAAAATATTAAGAAAATTATATGGATTCTGGGAAATATAAGTGTTATAGGTTTAACATACGTCAGACGAGAACTTATTTAATCATTGGAAAATTTATATTAGATAATAGTAATAAAATTAATAGTATGTGCATTTGTAGTTATTTAACTTTATGTTGTGACTATAATGCATTTAATGACAGTTGTTTTAAGATGATTGGATCGCACACATTACGTGTGCAACGTACGTATAAGATCAATGAATCGTTGCTGCGTTATTATGCTGTTTCAAGGTCGCATAACTTATCGGTTTTTTTTATTTAAGATACATATTATGTACAGATATATTTTTTTTCAGACCCTTCCATTAAAATTTATCTAAAACAATTCACCATATGATTATATGCTTGTAATCTATTATATTCGTTGTTTCTTGATATATTTTACAATATACAATCGAAAACAATAAAAATACAATCTGTTGTATTACAATATTTTATTATGTACTATAATTATTATTGTTTAGTATTCAAAAGCATATTAAAAAAAAAATGTTTATATAATTTTAGTATATTTTCGATTTTAATTATCCTAATGAATAATTTTACTTTTTGATTTTTTTTTAATATGATATGAATATTCATAAATAGCTTTACGAACAACAATAATT